AGGAGAGCACGGCCTTAACCAGAGCAGTGCACCCGACACGATTCAGGAACTTTCCTTTCCACGGGCTAAGACGAGCCACTGCTTTGTCGATGTAGGGTTGAAGGTCCACACGCCTAAGTCGTCCGAGGGAGAGGGGCAGCCCCAGATACTTAATGGGGAAGGGGGTCGTAGTCGCTGGGCAGTTCGCCAGAATCTCCTCCAAGTTAATGTTGGCGCATTGGATGGGGGCGATGGAGCTCTTGGTCACATTTGTCACGAGGCCAGAGACTACCCCAAAACTCTGTAGAATGCTAGCAAGGCCTTCCACATCATGTGTCGTGGGGGATAGAAAAATGGCAGCGTCGTCCGCATATAGGGAGACCCTGGGGCCCTGAATACCACCAGGCATAGCAGACAGTAGGTCGGATTCTGTAGCCTTTTCCAGAAGTCTCTGAAGTGGGTCGATGGCGATGTCGAACAGGAGGGGCGAGATGGGATCGCCCTGACGAAAACCGCGTCCATGCAGGATGTCCCTCCCAGGGATTCCGTTGAGGAAGACCCTAGAGGAGGCCGTGGTGAGGAGACTCGTCAGGAGGGCCCGCCATCTTTGAGGAAAGCCGAGGCGTTGCAAAAGATCCAACATGTAATCCCAGCGAACAGTGTCAAAGGCCTTGGCGATGTCCAATTTGATCAGAAGTGATGGAGTTTTGCAGGGGTGTAACCGGCGGGCGGTGTTCCTGACGTACAAGAAATTGTCGTGGATAGTTCTAGACTTGATGAAAGCGCTCTGACTGCGGGAAACAATGTCGTTCATCTTCGAGCTGAGACGTCGTGCCATAGCTTTGGCGATGATCTTCGGAACCACATGGATAAGACTGATGGGCCTGAAATCCGATATGGACTTTGCACCATCCTTTTTAGGCAGAAGCACGACATTGGCTGTGTTGATGATGTGGAAATTGGACGCAGACAGCTCGGAGAAGGCATTGATGACGGTCATAAGGTCATCCTTGATTATATCCCAGCAAGAGCGAAAGAAGGCAATAGTAAAACCGTCAGGGCCCGGAGCCTTGTCCGCGGGCATGTCATCAATAGCCTCCTTTATCTCATCCTCAGAGAAAGGCAGGCCCAGATCCTCCAAGGGGTGGGTGGTGAGGTTCAGGGCGTCCCAATTAAAGTCCAGCGTACGAGGAGGAGGCCGACCTAGAGCGCGGGAGAAGTGGTTGAAGATCAGCCCGGCTTTATCATCGTGAGTCACAGCCCAGCCAGTGTTATGCTTGAGTCTCAAGATGCCCAAGCATCTAACCCAGCTACAAAAGGCAGCTCACATGAAGCAAACAGTACACCACACACACACTATCCATGGCCCTGGACCTGAACATAGCACCACCAGCTGAGGAAGAACATGAAGTTGCCTTGCTTGAGCAACTTGTACAAGAAGAAGATGAAGCTGCCTTCTATGATGAAATTTGGAGGAGAGAACGACTGCATTCGATCGTTGGGGGAGAGAGCGAGTGGGTTGGGTCGTGGATGTCTGCAGTTACCTCGAGGCGTAGACCGAGGGGGTGAATGTAATTTGGAGCCAGACGTACACTTATTTTCAGCCAGAGGCACACTTTCTAGCGGATGGAGGGTCTAAAAGAAAGAAGAAAAAGAGAAAAGGAAGATGGGCCGCTCCAGATATATATAGCCATGACGCTATTCCTCCTGACACGTCCAAAGTTCTCGGGCCTAGTGCAGCCGGGAAATAGGCCCAAGCCGTGGTTCTACAAGTCAAACGACGTGCTTGACACACCAGTTTTGGTAGATATAAATAAATCATGCACGCATCTTCCATCTGTTTATTCTGGCGGCGGCGGCGGCGACGGTAACATCAACAAGAAGATGGACGACGACTGCTGCGATTCGTACGATCATGTCGACGACTGCTGCGATTCGTACGATCATGTCGACGACCACTGCGACCCGCATGACCATTGCCACCACCACCACCACTGCCCGGCGGAGAGCGGCGACGACGCAGGCGGCAGATGGTGGCCGGACCCGCAGTATAACGATCTGGAGTCGGCGAGACAGCCGATATGGCCGTCCACATCATCGGCAAGGGAGAGCAAGAGGCGGCCACCGGCGTCAACAGCGGCGCCGCTCATCAAGCCCGAGGCCGAGACCGACGACCAGAGTTGTAAGGTACGCACACACTCACGCACGTGATATGCTCCTATGTTCTAGGCCATGCTAGTTACTAGTGCAAAATTATGATCGTGCTCAGGTTAGGTAGTACGTACGCACGAATTTCATGGTGAACTGACTGGAGGAGGTATGTATGAAGAATTGTAGTCTTTAATCTGCTTTTTCTTGGGGTGCAGAGCAATATGGAAGGTGCGTCGTGGTGGTGGTGGTGATGATCCTCGTGCTCATCTTTTCGTGATCGATCGAGATCGTCCAGCCGCAGGGGCAGTGCTGCATGCATGTAATAATTTGCTAGGCATCAATCGGTATATTATATGTACGGCAGCAGATCGCTGGATGCATGCGGGAGCGGGATCCAGCCTGAATTTTCTTTTGACCTTCAGTTAAATTTGCCCGGACTGTCTCCCACTCCTCCACCCGTGCCTCTCTTCCTGCACTGATGCCATTGCCAATTGCCATGCACCTCATCCTGAGATCCTAGCGAGCACTCATCCGCCACGGCGTCCCCTTCTCGAGCTCGAGCGCTATCAATTTTCCGTGGTCTCCCTACACGTGAATTCGACCAATGCGCCCAAAATTTTGAATAAACTTGTAGGTACTCCTGCCCATGATCCAGCTATATATCTCGCGATGCATGCACAATATGTAAAAATAAGCATACAATAGTGGAATTTTCAGGCACAAAAAAGTTTATGGGCATTTGATTATATTCCGCGCTAAAGATTTGTGCTTGTGGGATAGGATGAATATAATGAACCAATGAATCTAGTACGTAGTTGGCAATCATTCAGACTTGGTAAAGGTTGTCGCAACAAGCTCAAGCTTCCGTTGAGACAAAGCAGGCAAAAAAAGCTATCTTCATAGATGTTGCACATTGGAGAAGTCATGTACAAGCTCAAGCTTCCTGAATCGGCATCATTATGAGAGAGCCAATGGAGACTTTCCTCGTCTGGTCTTATACCCTCATCTCAAACCACGAGTCATTCATGCAAGGTACAAGTACTAATACCATGACCTTTAAAGAAAAAAGAAATAGAAACTAAGGAAAATCAAAATAATGAAGTTTATCTGAAAGACTGAATTAGCGGTGTTGGTATTATACCCTTCCAAAAGAAAGAAAATGAAAAAAAAATGAAAACACATGATAACATAATTTACACAGACATTGCACTTTTTCATAATGTGCAAGAATAAGAGGATAATAGTGCAATTTCTTAGAAAGAGATTTCCCAAGAAGGAATTAATTGGTGGCATTTGTATCACCCATAATAAAGAAAGAAAATGAAATAAAAACTTAAAAAGTCAAAATAAGAAAAAAATTTGAAGGAAGAAGGAGTTACATTGGTATTATCCTTTGAGAAGGAAAAAATGAAAAAAAAAACACATAATGATAGAGATTTGCACATAATTTACATAGAAATTGTGCCTTTTCATAATATGGAAGAATAAGCGTATATGAGTGGAATTTCTTATAAAGAAGCTTTCTAAGAAGGAATGAATTAGTGGTGTTGATATTACCAAATGAAATATAAAGCTAACATAATCATAGTAATAAACTTTTGTAAGGATTAATGAATTAGTAGAATTGGTGTTGCACATTAAAGAAGAGGAAAAATAGTGAAGTTTTGTAAGGATTAATGAATTAGTGGCATTGGTATTAGTCCTAATGAGGGAAGAAAACGAATTAAGAACTAAAACAATATCAAAATAATAATTATTTCTAAGGGATGAATTAGTGCATTGTCATTGCCCTTTAAGAAAAAATAAAAATAAATAAATAACAAAAAAATTAAATAAAGCATTTTTATATGGAATAGTGAATGAGCGGCGTTGGTATTACCCTTTAAGAACAAACAAAATGAAATAAAAAAAACTTACATACAACTTCGTGCTGAAATTAAACATTTTAAATACGCCAATAATAAGCATATAATAGTGCAATTTTGACACTCTAGTGTAATCAACACACATACTGTATAGTAATTGTGTGTCCACTCATCCAAATGCAAAAATATACCCATGTAGAAATAAATGTCTAAAAAGTAAATAGAAAAGCAAAAGAAAAAAAGCATACAAAGAAAAACTATGTGTAACGGGCTTCAAGCCCAATAGAAAAATTGACTTACCACAACAAGGGGGAAGTCAAAAAATTCAAACTAAGAAAAAAAAAATCAACTTACACTAAACAGGGGCAAGTCAAGAATTCAGCCTAAGGAAAAAATCGATTTACCTTAAAAGAGTGACAAGTCAAAAATCAACTTAAGAAATACAAAGGAAAAAAAAAGCATAAATCTTGACAAAAGAATCAACGGTGAGAAAATTGACTTACCCAAATTTGAATTTAAACGACTTACATGTAACTAAAGTGCTACGAAAAAGGTTCTTCTTAAATAGCGCCTCCCGGAAGAAAACGACATGCATGGGCTATCATCGCTCAATCGAACCGCTGATGCTCAGCTATTGGGGCTTCACCCTGAAGAGCAAGCAATGTCATGAACAAGGACATGACGCATAAATACAGTCATGGTCAGGTGTAACCATGGAAGGTTGAACCAAGGATTCTCATCCATCCGTTACTCAACAAGCACAACCAAGCCGAAGTCGTCATCTGTTGTCTTCACCACTTGCCCAGGCAGACTAGTCTGCTTGATTTTCTCGGTGGTAAATGCACATGGTCAAAATAAAATGACAAGTACACGATGGAATATCTATGGACCAGGTGCAGGCACACAATTGTGGAATATAACCAACTTATTTCCTTGGTGACTAATTTTCACGGCCGAAGCACTACAATTCTGTAATAACCACAGACGAATAAGCCTGCTGAGTGTCTATAGTGCAGGCACAGGAGCAGGCACGCGGATTGTGGCATGCAGCCAGAGGTTGCCCTTCCTCCTGGCCGTGACCCCGAGCTGCTCCTCCATATCCAGCCCACCGGCGGGGAGCTCCCAGTCGAAATGGAAGAGGAAGCTGGCCAGTGCGAGCTCCACGACCGCAAGGCCAAAGGCGATCCTAGGGCACATCCTCCGGCCGGCGCCGAACGGCACGAACTTGAAGTTGGTTCCCTTGAAGTCCAGCGCCGCCTCCTCTTCGAACCTCTCCGGCCTAAACTCCTCGGCGTCGGCGCCCCAGGTCGCCGCGTCCCGGCCGATGGCCCACGCGTTGACGAGCACCATGGCGCCCTTGGGCACGGTGTAGCCGAGGACATGTCGGGACTCCGGGCACTCCCGCGGGAGCAGCAGCGGCGCCGCCGGGTGCAGCCGGAGCGTCTCCTTGAGCACGAGACGCAGGTAGTGCAGCTCCGGCAGGGCCTCCTCTCGGACGCGGGTCTCCCCGGCGAGGGCGGCACGCACCTCCGACTGCGCCCTCCCCTCCGAAGCGCCGCCGGGCTCCCCATGAGCTCGGCCATCGCCCATTCGAGCGTCGTCGCCGAGGTGTCACTCGCTGCCCCGAACAGGTCCTACATAGAGCAAATACATGCAAAGAAGTCAACTGTCAACCTTGTCCGTCAAACACGTATGACGTACACGTTTTGTTTCCGATGGATGTAATGCATGGTGGAGGTTATTTCACGTACGGTAATCATGGCACGCATGGTTCCAGCATGGAGGCTGCCGTCATTCTTCTGGATCCTGAGCATCACGTCGACGAAGTCTTTTTCCTCGTCGCCGGCGTGCTGGTGCTTGTCGATGATTCGGTCCATGACCCGGCTCGTCTCGCGGCCTAGCGCCTCCAGCCGGCCTAGCGAGCCACTGAAGGCACGCACGAGGCGCGACGACGGGAACAGGTCGGCGAGGCCGAACCCGGTGGCCAGCCTGACGCCCTCGCCGAGGCGCTCCAGGAATTCGCCGCGGAGGTCGTCCCCGATTCGGTCGCCCACCAGGGCGCGCACCGCCACGTCGATGATGTAGGTGGAGAGGAGGGAGCTGACGTTCACAGGCCCCGACGCCGAGGCGATGGAGGCGACGAGGGCGGCAACGCCGGCCTCGCGGGATCCGCGGAGGGACTGGACCGGCCGCGCGCCGAGGAGCTCGGTGACGCCGAGCTTGCGGGCGTGCCGCCAGTGCTCTCCGTGCGGCGCCAGGGCGATGCCGGCGCCGTCCACCGTGAGCGCGCGGATGGTGGGCGTCTGCATGCGGGTGGCGAAGACCGCGTCCTGGGTCTTGAGGATCTCCCTCGCCGCGTCAGCGGAGGAGGCCACGACGACGTCGAGCTCCCCCAGGCGGAGCAGTATGAGCGGGGCGTCGTACCGGCGGGCGAGGTCGCGCATGAAGCGGTGCGGCAGCCTGCCGACCAGGTGGTGCAGGCTGCCGATGACCGGCAGCCGCCATGGCCCCGGAGGAAGGTTCTCCCCGCGCGGCCGCCTGAGCCTCTTGAGGAGGAGGAGAGGGAGTAGCAGTGCGGCAGCCAGGAGGAGGCAATTGCGGTAGTACATGATGACGTCTTCATCTTGTTGCTGCGCCATGGCTGCCTGCCTTGCCTGAAGCTAGCTTCCACAGTACAACTGTATAAGTAGCCGGGGTAATTAAGAAAAGTATAACAAATGAAGAGTCAATATTTCCACAAAAATAACTCTTCAGTTTACCACGAAGAGTGGCGTCAATGTTCAAAGTCGTTGTTTAAGGAGACTTGGAAAAATCTCTACTGTTGACTTCGATTTAGAAAACCATGCATGCAAGTAAAGATTAAATTAAAAGACACTTTAGGACTCATACGGCATACAAGGGATATTGTTATGGTGGTCTGGGAGGGGAAACAAAATTAGGTTTAGCACTACACAAAGTTGCACTTGGTAATACTGAAAAAGTATGTTTACACAACTCAAAAGAGTCACTTACGTATTACAGAGCAAAAAAATGTGGGTATGAAATAAATGTACACGTAGTTAAAATATATATTTTCTTTAATATAAACTTCAAAAAAATTAAAATGAAAACAAGAGAGAAAACCATGCAAAAAGTAAATGAGGAGTGACTATTTGCAGAAAACGCACTAGTTTTCCACAAAGCCACGTCAAAGTAAAATTCGACAAAGATTGTTTCGCAAGACTTAGAAAATTTTATCTTGACTTTGACTTAGAAAACCATGCAAAACCAGCTATATGTAAGTTGCCCTAAATTTTCTGCGGGTTTCTTGGTAGTTTAAATTTGGACCACACTACACAACAACATGCATGTTTTGCCTTGCTGGGGCTAATCTTCTGCCCCTCCCAATTTTTTACAAACTCCCGAACATTGTTTTCGAAAGTTGCGAACATTTTTCAAACTTACAAACCTTTTTCAAAATTAATGAACATTTTTAAAATCCCGATTTTTAAATTCACAGATGATTTTTCAATACACGATTATTCTTCCCACGAACATTTTTTTGATTTGCAAACAGTTTTAAAATATAGAAACAATTTTTGGATCCGCCGACATTTTGTGATTTTGCGAACATTTTTTCAAAATCAGAAACATTTTTTGAATTCAACAACAGTTTTTCAATTTCCTGAACATTTTTTGAACGCGTGTTTGCGGTCAACCAGCACGCTGTGTGCCAAATAGAAGCTTCCAGCTGGGAAGGCCGACTGCCTAGGCCTATGTATGTTCAATTGCATGTTCTGATTTGAGGGTAGAGCATCAAATTATGAAGCACATCAAGGACAGTATAACCGCACCTAAACCGAGCTCTCACAGCGATTTGCATTTTAGGCCGTCCATTCTCACGATCTGGGCGTTTCTGGCTGTTGGATCAACTTCTAATCGCGAATTGAGCCAGCTGTCCTAGAGGGCTGCTATTCTGGAAGCCGAAACCGTCGTTTGTGGTTAATTGGGCCCTCCACCTCCCAAAGCCCATTCTCTCAACCTCGCCCAGCCCTCTCCTTGTTAGTTTTCCAGCCCATTCTCACCTTGTTCCATTCCCTTATCCCCTCGTCCAATCCAATCGAACTGGGCGAAACAGCCCTACCGACAGGCGACAGCGCCGCCGCCGGCGAATCCTTCATCCTTTGCCTCGATCGCCCCTTTCATCCTCTGCCTCAATGTTGCTGCCTCCCCATGTTGCCTCCTTGTCTCGCTGTTCTATGCCGGCCGAAGGTGAGAGCAAGATGAGAGGATAACTGGAGGAAGAAGGGAAGTCGAGTCACATATGGCTCCCCTCGATCCTTCTCCTCTCGTGCGCCACCGCCATGCCTTCTCTCTGAAGGGCGAAGGGAGGAGAACGTGAAGACCAGGAGGAGAAGTTTGATGTCTCTCATGACGAGCGGCGGCCCCCGAGACGACAGCTCGCCCGGCGGTGAGTCGGTTCCCGGGGGCAACTGTTGTCAAAGATGGCCGCCGCCCTTCCGTCCTATAACGGCGCCGACATGGCGACATGCCTTCACGTACACCTGCAAGGAAGAACTACAGTATGTGTTATGGAATGCATTTTTCCATCCCATCTCACCTTCCACAAATTTTGATTCAGATAAACCTGATATTAATACAGAAATAAAATTTCAGTAGGTTTAGCGATCTTATAGGACTCGATTTCCTTTTTATTGTGCAATGGTTACAGAAAAGGATGAAGCTTCTAAGATTAATGTGTATACGTTTTCCTTCTCTGTCGGCTCGGAAGGATGGGCTTGTCTAGGATCTTTTACCTATTCAATTTCTCTATACACAATCATAAAGACAGCTTATATCTCAATACATGTTTATTTTTGGCGATGCATATTAGTTATTTGTCTTGACAATACTGCTTACTTGTATTTACTACATACATTGTTGTGTATGTTGTCATACCAAACCAATTTGTATCTGCAAACCTTGCTCTCACCGAATATATATATGAGATATCTCTTGCGTACAGACTAACATATGGTTATGATTATGCAAATTTAATAAGTTTAGTGTGGTCAAATATTTATGAAATTTTCTATCATTTTTTGTATAAATAGACGGGAGTGGCAACAGGCGCCATCGATGAAGGCTACATACTTTTTGGTTAATGCTGATTCCGAAGGGTTAGCTGTTCGTCATGTGAACTATAGTAGGAGGAAAGGAGGAGCACTCATCTATCGGACCTCCATCTTGTGCTGATCTATCCATGTCATAGGCATCCTCGTGCCATTCCTGATTGCCTGTAGCTACTGCAATTCTATAATAGATGGAACTTGGGATGACAAGGTGATCAGTTGCTGCCTATGGTTCAGATTCTAGAGGAAACACAAGTTAAACGGTTTGCAAGGCTTGAAGAATTATATCTCTCGTTGTTGTCCTATCATCGATACAAAGATTATTATGAATGCCCAATTTCTTATCATTGTTCTCTGGTTGTTTCAGAATTTATATGGAATTTACATTGGACACAGGTTACTGTTTCACATCTGAAAATTCTTCTCCTAACTTCCAGGTTACACCTTTCCCCATACCACTTTCAGTTTAGCTCTTCAGTTCAATACAAGTTGAGGTTCTTTATATCTGGGTAGGGAACAAATGAACCAGAAGGAAAAACCGCAGCCAGCGTACAATGTGAGGCCAGCAACAAAATTAAAAGCGGCTGTGGAGAAGAGCGCTATTGAGTCGAGCAACAAGTCCTAGACCATGAACCATTATATCTAGATGGAGCTGACTAGGAGGCTCTTCTTTCGATGTATGCCTTTATAACTTTATGGATCCAAGGAATTTCATGGTGATGCTTATTTTCCTCTAAACTGCTACTTTTCACAAGAAAAAAGTAGATGCCATAATATCAGTCTGTAGTTAGCCAGAATATATATCAATCTCAAAATTATAACTTATGGAAATTTATGAGTCCAATTAGTGTAAATGCAAGATGCTACTGGATTAAAAACTGAGAGTGGGAGGCACAAGTGATACGCCTGGTCATTGTGTAGTTCAACTTCGCTCCGAGTTAGGCCATACAGCTAGCTGATGATACAAATTGATATCGAATGCTCAAGGCAAGTGTATTACTACCTTGCATTTTGGTTTGGTCACGTGGGTTCCAAGAGGACTAGCTTCGACTATAAAGTTGTGCACACTTCACTTATAACATATATGACCAAGTAATAGCGTAATGCTGTTGGACTGCCGACATACTCCTTCCGCAACAGATGATGCATAGTGGATTATGTTTTTACAATTTAGAAAAATCTTTGTACACTAATAAGCTAAAGTAAAACATGTACATGCTGACATGAAGTTCTTTTTATGGGTGCAATCAACACGCATTTTTAGGTGGCTTACAAACTTCTCGAATGTTTCCCTTTGTGGTGTTTCAAGTTATAAAGTAAGATGAATATCTTTTGTCGTCTCACCTTCTTATTGGTCAATATTCAGACTATAAACTTAATTATGTCTCTTCATTTTTGTGAAATAACATTATCAATAACTATTTGTGCTAATCTTACGAAAGGTCACCAGAATGCAACATTTAGTTGGACAGATTATGCAAAGTATATACATGATAATAAACAAGACCCATACTGATATAATTGAGATTATGCAGTCAAGGTTTTCTCCTAAATAGTGAAGACCTTCTAAAAACGGGTAATGATGACCTTTCCACATGGAGTGTAGTAATGTGATGGTCCCTTTTGATGACATACATTTATTCTTTGATGTGAATGTACAAAACCTGAAAAAAATCAACCTATTTGTTCAAATTTCAAAACATGAAGTTGTTTTTTTTTGTCGTGTATACTTCTCCGGTTGGTCTGATGAAAAGCACTTATGCTAATCGCCTTTAGAACCTGATTTTTTGTTACACAATATAATGGTTTGCAATGGTCTGTTGCTTAATATAAATGTCTGGTATAGAATAGATAGAAATATTTATTATCACCAATTTATCATCCCTTCTTAACATATTCACTACTCCATCCATATATTTATTTTCACCATATTCACTATTCCATATTCACCAATTTCTCACAGCTTTAGTACATATAATTGTCTGCTATAGAATAAATAAAACATTTTATTTTCACCAATTTAACATCCCTTCTTAGAATATTTACTACTCCATGCGATTGTATTACTATAAAGTTATACTAAAGCTGCGACGATTAATATGGATTGGAGGGAGTATCTATTCTGAAACAGAACGAATCAGTTCATCAACAAGGACCAAGGTTTACCAAATGATGAGTGGATAAAACTACCAATAAGGTGTGAAATCAAGATCCAAGTGTGGCGTATGATGGGAAAGAACAATGAGCTAGGCTAAAAAAAAAAGAAACCGATGATCAAATAAGTTGATGGGTGTTTATGATTTCAGTTCATAGGGAGATTTTTAAGGCTTATTGTACATCGTTTGTAGAGCTGTATTTTCTTTTGGCGGGAAGAGTTGTATTTTTATGTTGTAGCTAAAACTCCTAATTGGTTAGAATCAAATTTTAGTGACTGGTCTTAAACTGCAGTACACACATTACATTGCTAAACACAAGTACCAGTGCCCTGTTTTGCTAATAAAAAATATTCGACTTGGTGTCCTTAAATC